TTAATAGCAAACAGACAAAGAAATATATATAAATGAGAAACATTAAAATAAGACAATACCCGTCATGGTTTTTGTTAAGAATGGAAAATATCGAGGAGGATATATATATATTTTTTGAACACTGCATTAATAAAGTTTGTAGTAATTAAAAGCAACATCACCGAACATATCAGGCGACACAGGGCTGAGAGGAAATACAATATTTGGGTGGTATATATATACAACAACTGCATTGTTTTATATTTATATTCTATGTGGATTACAAAAACATGTCCATCGCGCGTGAGTTGCTAGAAAAAACTTTAATTGCGCGAATGAACTTAAAGCGCGGTGGTCGTCGCGCAGCGCGTGTTCGAATTTCAGGTATACAAACATTGTATTTTACACGCGTTGTATACGTCGCTATGAGTCCCATGTCGAACAGGACGCGGCGCGACGACTGCCGCCCTTTAAGCTTTCATTCCCACTTTGCAAATATGTAAATTATCACTCTCAGATCAAGATAAAAACATAAAATGTGATGTTGTTTTGTAAACAAAATCCAGCTCCCACGTTCCCGTCCATTTCATTTTGAGAGTACTAGAGTGTCTTATCTCTTGGACAACACATATCTACTGTAACAATTTAACTGGCATTCAAGGAGTGAGTGTCTATTGTTTACAAATATAACTCAAAACTATAATTTAAAATACCGACTTATATTCTGAAGTTAAAGCGGGAGTGTCGTCACCTGCGCACGCGCGGAAATTGAGTCCCAAGCGACGATAACAACACACTATAAAAACGCAAAGGCTCATGGGTAGACGCTTGTATGTAAACAATGACACGCTATGGCCATCTGACGCATGGCAGGTGACGACTTCCCCGCTTTAATTTCTCATTACATGTCCATAATCTCAACATTTGGTGGTGTATAGTACCGCACAAACCTACAAAGTAGGAACGCAACTTTAAATGCGTTTTTGATACAATTTCAATAATACATTAGTTAGTTGAACTTGGACGCCATATAGACAACACGTGACAAAAATAAAACACAAAGTAACGCTCAGTTTTATTATTTTCACGGAAAACAGTTCAGTATAAAATGAAATGTTTTGGGAGTGAGCAAATTCTGTTTTTTTTTCTCCAAATTCATAGTATGCAAATTCTGGACATGATTATTATTTCGGCGACGAGCAAATATAGGGATACAAATTAAAAATAATACAAAAGGTGTGAGTGACTTAAAATCCGCCACCTCTGGTATCAGATTGATTAAACTCATGTAGTAAATTTTATTTGATTACTACAATTTAAAATGTCTAATGATGTCTGAAAAAATCTGATATAGAAGTTCCACTAGTTATCTTCAATTGTATGAACAATTCTGGTGAGCCCAGCCATCACCGACCATCAGCGTCCAGCATTTCATGAAATATTTAACATTAAATAAATAATGGGGGAATTTATTTATCAGTCATTCCCAGAAACGGGTCTACTGTTCTATCTGCGCATTGTTTTAAATCCTTTCGTTTTCCGGGTGCCTTGAAAGAGTACTGACTTCCGGTTGTGGCGTTATTAGGATCGCTGCCATGAAACCCGTCACCTCCAGCTTCCATGCACCAGACGTAGGCTTTGCCGCCCTCACCGACACACCTGAGAAGTAAAAGTAGTATTTGTTTTTATTATGCGCGGACACAAAATTATTACTCCACTGTCAGGGTGTCCACACATACAGACGAGTTTGTATGTGTTTTGTTTCATTTTAAAAGTTGTGTGCTTTTAGATGTATTTCAAATAACTCTACACTATAACGCATATACATACATTGGAAATGCGAACAAGTCCAAGTACTCTCAATCACGAGTTTTTACAGTACAGACATCTGATAGATATGAGGAGAGTATTTTGCTATATTTGGCTTCCATAAAACTAGCAACATATGTGACGATTAAATATATTTACGTAAATTTTAAAGCGCGGTGGTCGTCGCACAGCGCGTGTTCGAATTTCATGTTAATAAACAATGTATTTTACACGCATTGTATACGTCACCATGAGTCCCACACCGAAAAGGACGCGGCGAGACGACTGCCGCCATTTAAGTTATTTTAGAGTTCTCGACGACCTCATGCTTGGTAGGAGGCGATAACTAAATAAAACCATACCTGCAGTAGTCATCTTTACCGTCTCCGTTCTCGTCTTTCATGTACCAGGTGCCTTCATATCCAACCTCCAAGTCCGCCGTGGATATATAATTATATTCATTATCTCCCATGGTACCAGCCAACGCACATGCTAATTGAAACCCCACTTCGCCCGCTGCAATTATCCTACCAAGAAAAATTCATTCAGTTATTATAGCGTTGCCAATATAACGAGGGCATCGCGAGCAAGCCGTTATATACATATGTATAGCTACAGATGGCCTACAATTGAATGCCTATACAAATTAAAACAGTCCATCTATAATATTAAATATATATATTAGAATAGATACCGTCTCTGATCGTAAGGACTTTGAAAAATGCGAATAATGCTAGTAGTCTAGTGAATCGGTTTAGAGTAAGTCAGTCAGTGCATGCATGGTCCCATGGTAATTTACTGAAGTCATGAAGACAGCCAATCACTGATGACACATAATTCTGTACCGATTGCGTAGTTACTAGTGTATTGTGGATCATGAGACAATTTTTGAGTGTACTTCGAATGATTGGATGACAATGAATGAAGTCAATTCTTAGAGTCTGCAAAATGCGTTTCAACTAATTGCACAGATACTTCCAGATCTCTAAATAACCATTAATAAATCACTTCTAACCGAAATCATGTGAAACTAATTTCGATTACAATTTTCGCCCGAGTGCATGGAGGTGAATCATTCTTCTATATTTTTGTAAACAGGGTAATTACAGTTTTATTTGAGTACTACCTGCAGTAGTCATTGGCAGCTCCCTGTCCTTGGACGTCTACCCATCCTCTGAAGTATCCTTCCAAACCCGCATCCAATATATCATAGCGACGTGGTTTCACGGTGCCCGCTTCATCATTTGAGGAGAGAAAATAACAAAGTATCTACTTACATACACATGGCACGATAGATCATATATCACGGATACTTCCTAATTATTATAACATTTCATCGGAATCTTTATTTCCATTAAAGTTAAGACGACCTCAACGGTGAAAAACAAAGTATTTGCGTCACGTGGTTTTAGCACACGTAATTATTTTACATACCTTGACATGGCGGACATAGTTTGGGTGTCTCCTCACTTGTTTCTATCACTGTTGTCGCTGATATCGACGTCAAGTCAACAGATTGCTGCTGAGCAGTTGTTACTTCCATGATAGTGGTCTCGTCTAGCTTTGTTGTTGTCGTCGTGAAATCAGTTGTAGTTGGCTCAGTCGTTGGAGCTACGAGAAATGCAAAAATAGACCACTATTCATTTGACGTTATATACTGAAGTTCACGTCAATTTTCATTGGACATGCATGCAGTTTAATGGTTATTTGTGTTATCTCCGCGCAACAATTAGACAGTCAGTAATGACTAGTCATTGGTCGACTCTATTCCCATCTCAAAACGATCTACTGTATTCCTCGCCTAATCAACGACGTTACCACACGAACTCATATATCATGTTGTTTCGGCGCAACTAAGGTATTCCCCTCATCTTTATAAACATTCATTAACTTCGATAGCAGTTGAATCCAAACAGCCAACCAACGAACACAACGAGTAAAGACGTTTCAATGTTATTCAGTCGGCCAATAGAAACATCTCGTTTCAGTTTGAATTGTGAAATTTATAAATATCTATAAAGATGAATAGATATTTATATTTAGATTTATAAATGATTGTTAACGCAGATGGTTTTGTTGACACCAGTATTTAGACAAATTGTTTTTAATTAACTTTCATTGCAGTGATAACATATTTTCGACTTACCCAGCACCATGACAACGGTCGCAGCATAGCGGCTACCCCATACATGCGCAGATATACATGTATAGGTACCTCTTTCGTTGGTGGTGATGTTTTTAATAACCAGGCTACCAGAATCATCAAGTGAGTAATGCGTTACTTCTTCTCCAAGGGTGAGAGGTTTCTGATTGAACACCCATTGCACTGTGTACTGGGAATCTCCGATTGCACGACAAGCCAACGTCACGTTACTTTCGGCCATTACTGTGGTTTCAACGGACGGAAGCTCCCGAACAGATTTTGTACCAGTAGCTAGGAGACGAAGCAAACAAAGAAACCGATGTTCGAATCATTCAATAAACTACAGTAGGGACTGTGAATGAAATAACTAACCAAGTAACGCCAGTAGTTTCACTGACAAGGATAACTTGGGGAATTATAATCCCTTGACAGAGTAACAGTGTTTAAGACGTAGACTATATAGTCTATGGTTAAAGTCGGTTACATCCCAACTTTGAAAATGATCCGTGGTACATCGTGGCCATTCCAGGATGTAAACTCGTTTTTACAATTAAATAAATACAACATTAGTATATTAGGCCCATTTTATATGATATTTCTATCGTGTGCATGCGACGCAAAACTTAATATATTGCCAAATATTTGGATTTCAATCATTTCCATGGGATAGCAAATTTAGTATTTTTTGGCAAATTTGTAATTCATTATCAGTATCAGTGTGTTTAACATTTCCGCGAATTAACATTATGACATTTTACGTCAGTCAAATAACGGCCAAATAAATACGTGGAATCATTAATTACTAAGGACTTGGCGTAGAATTGGAAATTGCTGCAAATAAACAAATGTCCAATACGGGAACAGGATATTAGTATATTTGGTTATTTATC